AATTACTCGAAAAAAATCCTTGAGGCAAGATCCGAATGAACATCTTGCGCTACTGATAGCCAACGCAATTTGCAGGACAGCTTTGCTTGGGAAACTCAGGAAGTGCAAGCGAGCCAAGATAGGAAGCAGCCGTAGAAAGACGAAGTTTCAAGAAGTGCCGAAGGGACCTTGCACTAATACTGCATACTCGAAAACGCTTTCTCGCGCTATTGTTCGCTCCTTATATTAGGTCGTCCCAAAAGTTCTTGCGCACGACTTTCAAAAACTCATAACTTCTGATTTTTCCAACCGATTTGACTTCTTTTACTTTTTTTGAAAGAACAGGTCATGCCCTCTATAATGACATTTTAGATGCTTAAGTGGTCATCTGTTGCATAGATAGGAGCGATAGAAGAAAATGGTCAAAATTTGAATTCTATGTAGGGTCATAAAAATCGGAAACTTGCGACAAAGATCGGAGCAGTCGATATTGCAGGTTCTTTCACAGCCCTTTCTAACTGTGCAAAGTTTGCGTCGATTGAGCGTCTCTATGTAAAGTTACGATTTTCCTGAAAAATGCCAAAATAAATTAAATTCACACTTTTGTATTGCTTGCTCGAAAACATAACTTTTCATAGAGACGTTCAATCGGCGCAAACTTTGCACTGTCAGAAAGAGCTGGTAAAAGAACCTACAATACCGACTGCTCCGATTTTTGTTGCAAGTTTCCGATTTTTATGACTCTACACAGAAAATTAAAATTTTGACCGATTTCTCTCTACCGCTCCTATCTATGCAACGATGAACATTATTAATCAGCTAAAATGTCCTTATAAAAAGCATAACTTACTCTTTCATGCAAAAATAAAAGCAGTCAAATCGGTTGGAAAGATTAGAAGTTATGAATTTTTGAAAATCGTGCGCAAGAATTTCCGAGACAACCTAATACATAGGTAAGCCTTACACTCCGGAAAAGAGGGTGGTTAAAAAAAATGAAGTAGTTGCATAACAAAGGAGATTAATTCTTGTTCAGACGCAAATAAGCTGAACATAATATTCATCTTAATTCACTAACGGAAATTTTAGAAAATTCTGGATGGCAAAGACTCATCTCAATTACCGTAAAGGTGGATTACGCGCCATGTAGGGAATATACTTCTACCCAGATGAGTCTTTGTCTCCGGTAATACCAGCATTGTGCAGATGAAACTGTACAGAGGAGAACCAAAAAATTAGTAGCCAGCCAATAAAGATTTGATACAAATCTGGTCAAGACAACTTACACAGAACTAGAACTGTTGTAAAGCAATTACTTATAATGTTCTACTGTACACCACCCCTATTACCTTCAAACTTGTCGATCTATCTTGGATGGCTGGAATTCTGTATCGCTACTGTGATTGCTGCCGCGCGGTATTTGGTCTCATATACGCACAGCCATACCTCAAACCTGTGTAACAAAACTTATTATAAGAGCACTAGCTGGCAAACGCGGTTCCTCGGTCTTTTCAATAAGATGATCGTAATCAGCATGTTCACGTACTTCCCCGTGCCAACTCCTAAACCCAGCTCAAATTTTACAAAAAAATCGATAAAATCGATATCATCCGACAACGAAAAGTAGCCTACGACATCCACCCGCCTCGAAGTGTATGTACGCAAAGTTTGGTCCGGAACGGTTCAGAAATAAAAGTATCTATTCGGAACATATGAACATAATTAAGAGCACTACAAGCAGTACCTGGTTCCGGTAATGCAAATTTGAGGTACTGTGATTTCGTGGGAAGAAAGCAAATATAATGTTTAGTGATGAAAAGGAAAACGGTAAATATATGAACATTAGGAGACCTACAGATTGCGATGCACCACGCTTACTAAAGTGTGCTGGTCTTATATATGACAAACGAAGGGCATTCTACTGATAAGCTGAAGATAAGTACAGCCTGCGGGAAACTGGCGTACCTCGTCCAATGTTCGTCAATGCACATTCCTCAGGATACAGAGAAATGATACGAAACGACTGTCTGCATAGGAGAGTTGTGTTACCAGACGAAGAAAACGAGACCTAGAGCATGAATCCGCAGCCGTAGAAAACCACCATTATTGGCGCAAGCAAATGTATAAAAAATCACAAGCTTTTGTTGCACTTCCTGCATCAGACTACAGCGTACTTAGCACGAACTGGAACTTCGCAAACTTCACGGACTTTACGACTGAGTTTTCTCTATACCTTAGTTAACAAATCAGAATTTGAAGCTTCTTTCGAGAAGCAAGTTTTTTGTTCCATGATGCTTTCTTTCTCTCAATTTTCTAACAAGTACGCTCTCACTGAAGGCGTATTACACAGTCAAATTGAAATGGTGACACTTTCACCTTTATCCATATCAATTTGATTAGTCTATTTGTTCATAAGGAACTCCCTACGGTAAGATATGACAATAACTAATTTACGCAAAACAAAAATAATAAAACAAACTTCTCATTATTAACTATATCCAACAATGTCGTAGCTCGTAGATCGTGGTCTATTTGAGTGATCTTCTCAAATACCCTGAATATTTTTGAGTGATAAAAGGATCGGAAGTGTTGAAAACATGCAAAGCTAGTCGGGTTGCCTGTTCATTGATGTATCATCATTGAAATAACTCAAAGCTGACCATTGAAACATTGCCATATTGTCTGTTTTATACACAATACATAAGGAAAAACCAGAAAACTAAATCTGAGCACTAAGAAAATAGGAAAATTTCATTTAAAAAAGAAACGGCAACTCACAAAACTGATGATTTTTATTTCTGATCTTTATTATGACTCAGGAGATAGTCTTTTTGTCATTTTTTGAAAAAAATATCAAAAAATATTAAAAATATATAAAAAAATTAAAAAATTAAAAATATTAAAAAAATATAAAAAAAAATTTTTCCCTGAAATACTTTCGTACAAGCTGATATACAGGTATGGATTGTTACTTAAGTTTTGTTACAGTCAACAATCCTCATAACTTTCTCAAAAAAAATTTTTCTCATTTGAAAATCAAGTGGATTGCTGTTTACTTTCTATACGTGTCAAGCATGGAGGATTTTTTTTTTGAATATTTTGAAATTATTTCGAGATTTGGCAAATTTCCAAGAATCCTTGAGTTGTTACATAAGTTGTGTAAGAGGAAAGTTCAAACTTCTAAACTGCCATTGCATCAATATCACGATCCTGCAACTCCATGAAAATCAAAAAATACGAGAAAAGGAATGAGAGAATTCAAAAAAAAGGAGAAGAATGGAGGTTGGAGCGCTGTTGATTTTATACTTACTGCAATCATTTTTATTTGAACTTACTTTAGCTCATGTCCTAAGGGTGAAAATTATGCCAAATAGCCCTCACCCTTTCCCATATATGCCATGATACTTTCCAAAATTCAGAGTAAAACTGAAGGTTTAGCAAACTTATGTAAATAGCCTATTTCCTCAAAGGTAAACATACATATTTTATGCAAATCGCTATATTCCTAATCTATCCTTCGCCCTTTCTTTCACTTCCATAACTCCAAAACAAGTTCATATAATTGATAATCATATCCAGAACTATTACGAAGGTCATGCTTGCATAATCCGTCAATTCATCGAAATAGAGTACATCAATAAACTAGAAATTCAAATTTTCTTCGCTGATCAGTGATGTATACGCGCACTTGCATATAAACACAGCGCACCCAAATCCTCGCATTTTTCTCGCTCGGCATTTTCACAACTAAAAGGATGACTGCTGCAGAAGATAATCAAAGTGTCATCTCAACCACAGTGACCAAAACGACATCAGCGCCAAATTCAGCTTATGCTGATTCCAATTATGATCGGCATGTGGTCTGTGGATGCGCTGGTGTTAATAGATTCTTTATTCTTATTCTAGCACTATTCTTCCTTTCTTTTTGTATGTCCAGGTAAGATTTTTTTGAATTTTGTTCTTTGTGATATAGTTTTATTAATGTTCTTCGTTGTTAAGTCTTCACATTATCTGGTCAAAGCTTTTACTTTGAGGATCGCTGCTAAATAGAGTGTGATAGAAGTCTTTTCCATTGCTCAAATAATCTATGAGAACTTCCCGAGGGCTGTGGGCAAACTTTCCTTGGGTCACTGGCATATTCCCGTAAAGCCCCCGGGAAGTTTCGCAAGTAAGTCGTCGGAAAGTTCGCAAGAAATGGGAACCTCCTGAAAGCTCATTTAGAGAACTTCGCGAGGGCCTAAGATGGGTTCCGTCTAGCTGTACAGAAGCGTTATAATAAATCTTGTTCTCTCCCTTCGAAGCCGCATCCTTAATCCATTTGCTACACACTTAGCTCAGACGTATTCATTACTCCTTGATAAAGCAATTAATTTTCTTTAAATTTAGATTTCTTCACTGATGATTACTTCGTTTTTGAATTAACAGTCCTTCAACAATTACTGTAGCATATATTACCTAAGAAAAAGCCCCCCCCCACGAAATTCAGTCGCATTGGTACCTGAGATTTTTGATTATACGACTGAGAAGAACAGTAACCATTTTTCTGATTTGCCATTTACTTCAGGGGATAAAATGTCCAGTAAAGTTGTTAAACATTATTTTGGATGGATAAAGTTCCATCAGCTGTGTGGCAGAAATCTCGTACCTATAGTCTATATATGACAGAACTCCTGCGGTGACTACAACATTTGCGCGAAAACAAATGCGATACTTGTAAATGTCATTGGCATGCTTGGACTTGCGCGTAAAAGTGAGCGTAGAGGGCATTGTTTAGATACACGCACTACCTCTTTATTTGAAATTGCAAACTTCATAATAATAGAGATGTACAGATACTGTAAGAAACTTATCAAATTTTTGATGATCGCACTGAACAATCGTATAATTCAAGTGTAGGCAGAGACAAAGAAGTTTTCATCTTTAAAATTAAAAAATAAATTAAAAAATAAAAGTCTATCATGTGACGTACATTAAAGAAATTCTTGTTTAGCCTTATTTGTTACAATGCCACTTTTGTTGCCATTATGGACAAGAAGACTTCGCCCCTATATAATGGCACGATATCGCCCGACATAGATTGGGCCAGTTCAGAACTGCCCATCGGACAACGGCGACTGTCTTATGGCGTGTTGGAGAAGAGTTTGACTTTTGCCGGTAAACATCCCCAAAATCTTCCTCTCAGTAGCTACAAGAGTGTGATTTTGTTTGTAGGTGGGTTCGTCGGTTCTATGGCGCTGACGTTCCCGATGAATTTGTTGCTATCAAGATTTGGAGCACATAAAGTCATGACAGTTGTAGGCGCCATAAGCACCATATTGTGTGCCATTGCACCAGTTGTCATGTGCTGGTCGTTCCCAGCATTTGTAATTCTACGGGTATGTCAGGTTAGTATTTCAGCTCACTTTAGTGTGCTGGCGCCGTTCTAGCGCCATGCTAGAACGTGCCGGAACGCAAGTCGATTACTACCGAGCGCGTCCACGTGGGTGCTGGCACGCACTGGCTCGATGCTGGAGCGGAGCTGGCACAGCGCCAGCGCTTGTGCAACTCAACTCCTTTACTGCCTTTCTTCCCTTTTAGGGTATAACAATCTCAAATACATTCCCAGTTGCTGGAGCAATTGTGAACGACTGGGCCAGTACTCATGAACGTGGAACGTTTGTAGCCGTACTTTCAGCTTGGACAGAACTCTCAGCCCTATTTACAATGCCAGTCAGTGGTGCTGTGGCCACTTCAGGTCAGCTTACCAAAGATATCCGAAAAATTTGGATCTCATAAAAAAATTTTCAGTGGGCTGGGATATCAACTTCTATATACATGCTGCAATTTTAGGAGGATTAACGATACTTTGGGCTCTATACTTTAGGTGAGCAATATCCATTTTTGCGAAAACTGCACGAATTATTTCTGCAAATAAAAGTGAACAAATCGCCAAACAACAAAAAAGCGTAGATGAGAAAATTTCGAAGAAAACAGTTCTCAAAAGCAGTTACTTCTTCTAGAAATTCGCCCTCTGGGCATCCATTTGTGGCTCGCAAAGAATATCAGAAAATTACGTTTGGCAAACCGCCAAAATCTGGAAAGCTAGTTGTAAGTCTATATAACCATTTTAAGTGATTGTCCCCCTCAATCCACATTCTACAGAACCCCGTCCGACGAATCTTCAGGTCACTAGTGATCTGGGCAGTATGGATCGCTGTCATAGGAAATTTTCTCGTTTCACAATTTACGATCTCTTATTCACCTCTATATCTTTCCTACACATTAGGGTTCCCAATTACTACTGCCGGGGTTCTCACTATTGCTCCCATGGGCGGTCTGGTAAGTTTTGTTTTGATCTGCCCGAACGAACTGGGGAAACGCTGTGCTTGCAGTTAGCAGTGAAGATGTTTACCGGACTTGCTTCGGATAAACTTACCTGCATACCTGAAGTGGCCAAAATTCGAATTTTCAACACTGTAGCCCTACTTGGTTCTGGAATGTTCTTCATTCTGCTTACTATGATATGTCCAACAGGAAACGCTGGCGATGTTATTTTGATCAGTAAGTTACATTGATAAATGGAATCCTTGAGATATAAATGAATATTATAGTAATCCCAGTGGCCTTGCTAGGATTCTCATCTGGAGGTTACTCCAAATGCGCTGTGCTCGTATCTCGGCAATATTCTCCGTTTGTGATGTCAATTGTACAGGTGGGTAAATTTACTATTAGAATAACAAATTTATAAGATTCGATGAATGTTGAAAGTAAGAAAACTTTCACGAAAAGTGCTAATACCTTATTTTCTAACAAAAGGCAGATATTTGCATCACTTACTCTTGAAAATAAAGGTCATATGTAAAGACGTGCTTTGAAGATGACTGTGATGATTTGCGCCTTGATAAGTGTCCAGAGGCGCGCACAGCAGCGGTGCGTTCTTAACGCCTCTTAGTCGCGGAAAGAAAACTTGGAGTATGGATACGCAGACAATCAAAACTGTGTAGCTATGGTTTCAAATTTATGTATTAAAAACAGTCAGTTATCTCAGAATGAATTGATTATTTTTTAAATTAGCTTCGATTACTGCAAACAAATCAAAAAAAGTTCTTTCTAAATTTTGCAGAATTTGTCCATTAAGCGCACACTAAAGTCTTCTCATTTGTCCCATTCTTCAGATAATCAAGATTGTGAATTTTAGCTCAAATTATTCTAGCCACCCCCTATCATGGTTTGCTGCTAATTTTGACCTTGCTCCTTTTGCCTCACCCTCAGTAGAGCAGAAAGCCCAAGAAAAGTTCTTGCAGTACATAATCAGTGATCTCTGATTTTATCGCTAATTTTATGCGCTTCCTGACAACATAGTATGCCAAGGGCATTTTCGGGATGTCAATCATAGTACTATGCGACCTATAAAAGTACGAGCGCACTGACCGTAGTACTAGAAAAGTTACTCGCTCTTTTTCAATTTTTGCAGATTTTTTCTGTTCCAGAATGAACTAGTACGTCAGGATTATGTAAATGAACGGACACAGTGTTAATCCGCACTCGTTGTAAAATATATTGATCGAATTTTTGCATGGTAGTATCTTGTGGGATAGTTGTAAGGGAATTTGTAAAGGCTATAGCTAAAAAAGAGTTTCTAAAAGCGCGCAGAATTGTCAGTGATTTATTTGATGAAGAACAAAAACCGAATTACTGACGACTGATGCTTGTTAATTTTGAAATTTGAAAAACATACTTGGGTTACGCATCTGCCTTTGCGCAGTCTCTATGTAGAGCTGTGTTTATCCCCGTGAGTAGACATTTGTCAGGACTTTGTTGGCAGCTCTGTTCCAACGGTTCCAGCGCCGTGCTAACTCCTGCTGGAATTTGCCGAGTGGGTCCCGGCACGGCGCTGGAGCGGCCCTGGAACAGCATTAGCACGTCCTGGACACGGAACTCTGAACAAAGCCTGAGATTCAACAGTCCAAGATTACAGCAAATTGCATCTGCATTCAAATCTCATGAATGACATAAACCTCACTTCCTCTCTCACTTTCTAGATTCTTTATTTTACAGATTGTCGCCTGTCTTTCACTGTTAGTGGGCTCATTCGTCGTACCGGCTATCACAAAGGATGACACATTCGATCAGTGGCGAACGGTGTTCCTTATCTACGCGCTCGTTCTTACGTTCTCAAACACGATCTTCATCGCATTTGCGAGGTTTGTCGTCGACGATTTGCTTAGTCGTTGTTCGACTCGAAAAACACTTAATCGCCACACGAATGATATGCAAATCGTTGATTTACATTTGTCACGCATCATCGCACAAAACACTCTTTTCCGGGAAGAGACTAATTTACGGGAAGTATTTATCTCTGAAAAGAAGTTTAGTGCCGAGTAATTGAAACTCGTACGAAACTTATAACTAACGTTGGTTATAAGTTGGACAATCAAAAATTTCTGGGACAAATTCTTGGGTAGGGGAACGAAGGCAGCCAGTTTGAGCCACCTTCCGTGGCCAATTGGTCCTTTTGCAGTGTTGTTGCATGTCGTTCCAGGACCACTAGTCCGCGGAAGCGGCCCAAACTGGCGGCTTTCGTTCCCCAACCCGAAATTTTTCAGTCGTCACCAGAATATGTAGCAGACTTTCAACACTGCAGCTCCTGTAGAGCAGAGATTTGTAAAAGTCTTGTTTTGCATATTTTGAACAACAATCTTTGTAATCCTATTTGACCTGTTTTGGACTTTATTTACAGGAACAAGTAGTCAACAACTGCCAAAGCAGATATTTTATTTCTTCATAATAGCATAATATTTTTTGGCAGGACCCGATACGTTACTGTTATCAATATTGGATCCAGAAGTTCTTTCCTTGGGGGGAGGGGAGCGCAAAAAATCTTCCAAGAAGCCCGAAATCTTTTAAACCTTTTCGCAGACTCATAACACCAATATTTGGCGCTTTTTTTGTAAAAATCATTCTCTCCAAAACTCATGAAATTACTTGGATTATCAATAAAACGACTTACTTGTATGATTATATCACCTATATGGACTCTTACTGAGGGAGGGGAGGGGGAATTTTTTGCGCATTCCGTCGATTACATATAAATAAAGACTTCATTGACAATGAATACAAAAATGCGTCGGGATTTCTGCAATTTTATTCCAGAAGCATTTACAAAAATTATTACTCACAGGATATCAAATTCTATTTTTAATAAAATTTCCGCAATACTTTGAAAACTCTTTCACTTTTCAGTGCTGAACCCGCTAAATGGACTATGCAACCGTTATCAGCCACCGTTGCTCCCGCGGAAGAGCCAAAGGAAGCAGCAAACGGTGTAAAGTCAGACAAAATCATTCCACCACCCCAACATAAGGATGAAATTGTTGTTGAACAAGCTTAAGCATTTTCTTTCTTTTCTGTTTTTCTCTTTCCAACTCGTTCGCTATTCAACGTTTGCAGCTTGTCTGCTAGTTAATTAGCGGACAATTGGACATTAACGGACAGAGTCCGTTCCTAACTTAGTGTTTTTTTATGTATCGAATAGTTGCCTGATTCAGGATACTTTTAGCATGCTCTGCAATTAGGCATTGCATTGATGACTTAATGATCAACACTGTATTGTATTTACTTATTTACGCCTACTTTCCGGGTCAAGTCCGGAAATGGGAAAATTTTTGTTATTGTTGTTTTCTTATGTCTTTCGAGGTGTTTTCATAAAAATATTGTAATATCTGAACAAATGAGACTTAAATTAGCATTCTATGCGGTTTAGCGATGAAATACGATTCTTGCTGGATCCAAAAAATATTTGGTTTCAAGCAAATTGAGAGCTCAACGAATGGATTTACGAATTATGCTCTGAAGACTGGAAGCAGTATCTAAGCCAACCTTATTCCCAAAAATGAAAGCCAACGAAACATTTCTCAGTATGGCATACCGCCAAGGAAGTTAATTTCGAGCTCTCGCCCACTACCTTAATCTTCTTTAGAGGACAAACAGCACTGTTGAGTACTGTACCTGGGCAAGAGTCAGATTTCTCGTACATATGAGGCAGCAACGTTCAAAAAATTGTCATTCCGAATTTCCAATGTGTTGGAATAACTTATGCGCCCTACTCGCTCCTTTTTTGCTGTCAAATAAGTCGCATATTTGACCGCTTGAGGAGTCTAGCACAAATATAGCACTATACTTATCGAATAGTTTAGTTCTTCAAAATCACCGATTGTGTTGAGTCGACACTTAGCAAAAGCCAGTCTTTCAAGGAATTTGATTTAGCTTATAGTCATTGCCTACCCAGTGGTCAAGACAACATTTTAGCGGCAAAAGAACAGCGAAAAACCTCGCTTGCGCACATGAGCCGCGCTATTTCGGCGCCGAGCTTATCCGGAGGTGCTTTTCAAGTGCTTTGCAACCGCATATAGCTCACTCGCTGTCCCCAACTCGAATTAGCTAAGAGAGAGAGCCGGCCGAGCAAGTGAGGTCGACGAGCAAGGAGTGCGCGTGATATGTGTTGGTGCTGATAAGCCGGTCCAAAGTGAAGCGCTGATTCGTGAGGTCGCGTGTTTGCCGTGTCCCGGCACTCCACATTCCTCAAGCGACGACGACGAAGCAGCGCTCTCCCTCGTTCCAGCTCTACGAGCAGCAGCTCCTTATTTGCTGCTGTTGCACCACTGATCGCGATCACACTGCCGAACAAGTGTTCATTTACTTGTTCGACAATTAGCTGAGTTCACCCCCCCCCCCCCCTCCCCCCGGGAACGACGCAGTCGCAATAGTGAAGACGGGGGAAAGACAAGGGGGGAGGGGAAGAAGCAAGGTGTTCCAACGGATGATATGTGCCTTCACAGTGATGATTGCACAGCCGCAGTAAGAATAGCCAGAGGTGCAAAACATGAAAAAGTGTGCTCTGCCAGTTTTTACGCGCATGTTTTGTCAACACCGCAACTATACCATTACTGACGATGAGGCCACAACACTATGCAGGGGCCATCAGCGACGATTGCTGGCCTACAACTACTTATTTTAAAAAACTAGAGCGTAAAAAAAGAGGAAGGTATAACAGAGAGTATAGAAAAGGAAGTATGATGAAGAACTGGCTATTTATCTAATTGCACAAATGGAAAAATCTGATTTCAAGACAATTCTTTTTGGATCAGGTTCATCGGAGATCTAAAATTGTTTTGTAGATGATTCAAAGTCTTTCTGCCAAATTTGGAATATAAAAACTACTTTTGGTCACTGCGATCACAATGTACGTACAAAAATTCGAAAAATCCGGCTTGGACTTAGCCGAACAAAAAATCTTCGCGTAAACTTTCCGCAGAAGGATGTGAGTCAATCGGCGGTAATGTTTACCTTAGGGTAGCGTAACGTCTTTCAGAGAGGGAGTTGACTCACATACGCCTAGCTTCTATACGTTATCCATAGCGTAAACAACATTCAAAAACTGAATGCGAATATTTTCAAACTAGTGAAAGACGTTATGTAATTCAAACACGACGATTACGAAAAACCACGGCAGTTTGTGCGAAGCAGTTAATGCCGAATTGTCAACTAATCAGCGATCTATTACGTTATAATGTAGCCAACTAACACTACTTTCGCATTGCTAGTGGGTCACCGCGTTGCGAAAAGAATACAGTTAATTTTTATTGGAGTTTTCCGCAGATTTTTGCTTACAGTAAACTACATAAAGTGCTATCAAGTTATATGCAATGAGATATCCTTAACAAGTTCGAGTTTGTTCCTCCCTATTTCAAAAGAGTGAGTAAACCTGGACGAGATAAATGACAAGTATAAACGTGCTAAGTACACGATTAAGCTTGTTTAGACAATGTGTGCAATGCGGTCCCGCGTCTTCTAGCCATAGAATGAATAACACAATAAATCAGAAAAATGAACGATGGTATTTTGAAGCTTTCTTAGACCCGAGAAGAAAGACCATCAATGTACAAACGCTGATTTGCACATCATTGTTCCTCAAGTAGAAAGTATTAGGTCATTTCAAAAGTTCGTTTGCCAGTTTTTTAAAATATCAGAGCTTCCTTCCTTCTGGGTGGAATTTCCTGTTTTAATTCTTGTTTAAAAGAAGAAACCTTTCTCTTTACAATAGTATCTTTGCCATGAAATGGCGTGAGAAAGTTCGAGAGTTAGAAGCAATTGAATAAATTTACTCAAGATTGGCATTTTTTGAGCTGGATCACGAAAAATTCCGAAAGTGTTATTATTTGATAGAGAAAATTATGCTCTTTACTGTAGTGCCTTTTCCACGAATTAAAACGAAAAAGATCGAAAGTTACAAGCAAATAAAGAGAATTACTTCAGTTTTGCAATTTTTGAGCATGCCCAAAAAAGCCCAAAAACGTCACAAAAAAGGCGGGAAAGCCAAGAACAGGGGTTTTGTGACCTTCCCTTTCTAGCTAAGGGATTTTTGTGCTAAAGAAGAGCAATTTTGATTTTCATGGAAACGTATAGCAAATTTCAAAAAAATCATTACTTTTCATAAGAACAGTCGTTCAACAAGGAGTTTGCTTAGCTAGAAAGACGAGAACATAAAACTAATGTTTGCATTGGTTTCGGTATTTTTTGTAACGTTCTAAGGTTTTTGGTGGACTTTTTTAGACTTACCAAAATCTGAGTGCCCTTCTTTTTGCATTTTTAACTCTGCGACTTGTGCTTGGTAGCGAATTTGAGTTACAGTTAGAAACTACATGATCTCTTTATTTTAGAAAAAATTACCCCAGGCAAATCTAGGCAGATAGCAGAGAGTTATGATTTTTTAGAGAACAATACGAACGAACTTTTGAAATGACCTAATATTTTTCACTTGCAACTTGATATGTGAGTCTACAGACTATATGAGGCAACCGACGTCTACCTTACCAATAACTTCTCGGTGAAACCTTTTCCACTGTAACAATTTGTAGAAATCTGTACTACTAAGTAATAAATACCCAGTCAAATCTGAATAGACAAGGAAACAAGGAAAAATCGATGGAAATAAGCAGGTTCCAATTTTGAATTTTGTCAAGTAGCGCGCACGATGTGCAATAAGCATACAAAGTTACAAATGAATTGACGATACACGGAAAAATCTTAAAAAATTTATTGGATGTTACCAGATTTCAAAGTATAGAAAATGGAGGCTTGAAAACTAATTTCGTGTACAGTAAACGATGTAGCATGGTATGCTGCTCCTCGTTACCTATGATTGTTGTAGCTGTTAAGTTAATATGTAGTGTAAAAAAAACTTCAAAAATATTGCCTACAAATGTTTAGAAGGCAGCTTATTCTCGTTATATATGATTGTTGTATTTCATTATTTATACTAGATATTTTACTGCAAATAATGAAGGTGGAAAACTAGTCAGAAAGACTATGTCACGATATCAAAATTCCTACCCTACTTATTAACAGCTTTAGCGACCTAAATTTTACGATAATTTGAATTTCTCTTCAATAGCCTGTATCGTCGCCATATACCACAATGCGTTAGCTTGGGGCATTAAGCGCATGACTTTTTTCCAGTAAAGTATCAATCCACATGGACCTATTGAATCTGGAGGAAGATGAAAAGCAATTCCGCGTGATAGATGATGATCAATTCATCTTTTGTCTTTCTTGATACACCTCCTCGAATGTTTCCGCTCAGACTACAAAATTACCTCTCTCTACCCAAAAACTAAGCAGCTTCTCAGGCCAGTTTCACCCTACAAGATTTCGGAACTTGAACGGCTCGCTTTCTTCTTGTGCCGGCCAAAATTCGCGCTAATCCAGAACAATCAGATGTTTGTGCGAGTGTTGACCGGCGGCTATTTTCAGTTTTCTCAGAGTACTTGAATAGAACGAACCGCACAAACAATGCTCCACTCGAGAGCACATGCAAACATCCCGAAGATCGCGCGTTCGAAAAGCATGAGAACAGGGGGCGGAGCTTCTAAAGGTCATTAGCCAATCATGGCTAAGGAGTAATTAAACTTACTGTATATGGGAGAGATTTACGGTAATACGCTTCAGAGTGGTCGAATTCTGAATCCAAAGCCACCATTCGATTCGGTTCGGCGCGAAGAATCTTCTGATGTATTGGAAGTGAGGGTACGATGTCTTCGATATTTCGTTTCCAGTTTTCTCAAATTCTTCTGCGAAGGTCCCTTCGCAAATATGTGAATCAGCGCCTATCCAACATAGAAGACTTTACCAAGCACTATTCGATAACACTGTTCTTGTAGATTATTGTGCGCTAGAAAAATAGGTTCAGACTTCTTTCCAAAGGAGATAGAAGCGCTGGTGAATTCTGGAAAAATCACGCGTTTTTAAATTCTACTCGCCATAATTTCCTTCGGAGCGATTATATTTTGAATCCGAAAACAGTGCTGTGCTCAGCTCATCAAGGCGAATCTTTTGATGTACAGCATGTCCTGGACATTTCGACTTCAGTATTCTTGAATCTTTCTGCGGACGTCTTTTCGCGAAGGTGTAAAGCGGCGAGCATTGGCCCAAGTATACTCCGGCAAGGACCCTTCGATAGTACTTTTTCTGTAGATTATGATGCGCTAAATAGTAGGTGCAGATTTCTTTTCAAAGGGAATGGAAGCTGGTGAATTGTGGAAAAATCTTATCGTCCCAAAATCTACTCGCCATAGTCCTAGAATACAAAGCTATCTTGCTAAGCAGATATGAGTTTCGAAATCATCAGGTCGGATAACCTCTATGAGCAAGTATTCGATATGTTCGGGTTATTTCATTTTTTCTTACGCTCTGGAAGCTCGTCGATGGATTGGTCGAAATGTTGGCGTTCTTGAATCGTAGGGAAACTTCGCTTATAGAGGTTTTCGAACATGCTCTTTACGAAAATCGTGGTCTTTGGGGTATAAAGGGTCTTTTTGCAAAGATATGGTGAGGTAACTGCAACTGAGTCACGAAAATTCGTAAATTCGCCTGCACTTCCCGCATATCTTTCAGAAAGCTTGCCTGCTTGCTTTTCTAAGTCAAAGTTAAGAATTGTACTATCGAATGGTGCAGGCTCCAGTTTGTAAAATTCGCCGATTTACGAGCCTACGAAAACACGTCCTCATGAATTTTGCCCAAAATGTAAAGATCGCAAATCTCGTCGAAATTTCACGGCGAGCGCTTGTACAACACGCTGATCAAATATTTTCACATTCTTAATAGATCTTATTGTGTTAGATTCGGTAGTTCGAGCTCTAGCTACAAAATAGCTTTGATATTTGAGCAGCTGAAGCACACGCAAGCACCATTTGCGATCTTTACTCGAGTCTGTTTTTCAAAAAATGTGAGTAGAGTTATAAATAGGTAAGACTGGAATGCTTATCTCGAATCAACGCTAAGAATCTATTAGAGCCACTTCAGCGGAAGTTTTTCCACTTCGGACCAGCGTTCTTTGTGAGAGCTTGATCGTAACTATCATTGTGCAACTTTTTCCTACGACTCGTCTTCAGCCCCACCCCCTCTCTCAACGAACTCCACCCGCATCTTAAACGGCTAGCCAAGCCTACCCTCAAAAGAGGCGGACGCACCATCGGCGCCGACTGCTCGACTTGAACAGACCGCACACAAACCCTCTTGCACCGGGGCACCATCAACGGGCCTCTTCGCCTCTCTCCGCTCTTACTCCTCCCACCCCATACCTATAAGTCTTTACGCACACCATAGCCCTTCGATTCCAAGCCATCTACCGGCAGCTTCGACAGCTCTAAGCCATCAGTTATGCATCGACAACTGCTTATAGCAGCATTATTCTTAAGTAAGTTTGTAGTATCTTATCCAGTCAATATAATCAATTCAACTTGTGCGTATTGATTATCTGAGCACCCTTTACTCTTCTGAATTCTTCCGAACAGATTTTGTTCATTTGCTTCATCACTGATTTGGTTAAGAGTTTAACTTTCGCATAACAATCTCCTTTAGGTATTGAGCGCCTGAGAATCATCATAACTCATCATCCCAAATTATCCCTAGAAAGTGTGTTTTCAAACAATAAAAGAACAAGATTACCCGGTAAAACCAGGTGTTCAAATCAGCCCCGTTTCATTTACAACTTGGAAGATTACAATTAATCAAAGTAAAGTATTTTCATATGAAACGCATCTAGCTGAAAAGGAAAAGAGTGAAAAAGCTTTGGAGTCTCCATTATTTGACCTTCCCTTGTCTTCCTTTTCAATAATTTTGTCAAATAGCCGATTTTAAAATCATTACCTCACATGCTCATTCAATTTGCTGGATTGTCATAAGTTCGAATTTCATGTATGGGCGGGCATACAACGAGATATACTTCTTCAACAAAATTTTCCCTTCATGCTTTGCAAAACTTTTTTCAAAACGTTGTGTTTGACTGTTACTAAAGCTTTGTCTTCACAGCAGGTAAAAGCAAATTATTTGTGAAATACGTTTTTCGTTCACAAATTAATTGCGGAGTTCGATCTACAAGGAAAGACACTTAGTCGAAGTGGAGATGCCATATGAGATGTACACTGTTTTATAGAGCATGAAACGCTGATTCCAAATCTGCTTTCGACATCTGCAAAGCGCTTTTGGGAGGAGAGTTAAGGGAATTTTTTAAGGCAAAATTCGAAGGTCCGGCTGAGGTAAAAACAGTTGTTAGGTCTTCTCGGCACTTGAGGAAAGTAATGAGCAGCATAAGTATATTAGACTGAAGGTAATAGCTGCTTAAAACGCCATGGCGGTAATTAATCCCCATCTGAGCTGACAGACTACTCTTCTGAATGATTTTATTGCAGCCGCGCCTCCAAGTTTTTGTTTGAAATTTACCATAACCCTTCTCCCAAAGTTTTGCAGGTATGCAAAGCAGATCTGAGCATTCTATGCTTCAAAGAGAGTGTACAATACGTATGGAAATGCCAATTTGAGGAAGTATCCTTTCTTACTGGGCTATAAACATCGCACCAGTGTAAAAATAAGTAACCCCAGAAGATCCTAGGATACTGTCAAACTTAGTTTTCGACTTAAATCTGCAATTAAAGCATGAATTTATATGGGTTTTGCACAACGCTAGGGGTGAAATGAATTATTTGATTCTAAATACAATGTCAGATGACCGTGTTAAATTACAAACCATCATTCTGTGATACTCATGCACAAAAAAAAATCCCCAACTTACTTCATTTTGTGTGAACGACTCATGCTCATTCTGCATTTCAGTCACTCCTGGCCTTTGTCAAACACCAGTGATCGGCGGTACTTGTCGACTTGGAACTTCTGATGTACAAATTGGTGGTAAACAAACACAATTCTTCCTCAAGTGTGAAGCCACTTCAGAGTACGTTTTGCTCAATTATTGTTTTTTGGTAGATTTAAAATATAAAATATAAAATTCTATTTTTCAGCAGCGCAGCCGGTGAAGGCGTCTGGGTGGTGAAGTCTCGAGCAGCAGCAGCCGCTGCACCCGCGGGCAGCAGTGGCTCTTCGGCTGCCGGTGCTGCCGTTCCAGTGGAGAATACTCAACCACAGCAGCATCCAAAACTCATGCGCAAACATAATGCGCCGAATATTTGCGGTCAGTTCAATACCTCCACCTCATCCACTGTTCTGCTCAACTGCCTTTGATTTGTTTGTTCTTTGGCTGTGTTACTGGATTATTGGACAGTTTCAAGGGGTTAGGCGCGGCTCAGCTGGCTGAGGGGGCTCCCTAATCAGGGCAATGCGGAGCCCCGGCACAGCGCGACGCATTGCGCTCAATGTTGTGACAGTAGCTGCTTCTTATCCGCTACAGTCAGTGATAATCGAAGTTCAAACACACAGTGGCCCCCGTTGTGGACGTGCGCGCAAACAGCGCAGACCGCCGCGCCTGGTCGCGCGCCATTTGACCGCGAGCCGCAACCGAGCAATTAGCTGCGCACCCGGAAGAACAATGTCGACTCGAGCCGAGTCGAGTGTGCGCAAGCAAGCAAATTACGCGTACCGGGACATTACGCACTAGCACTGTACAAAACGCATGTAATTTAAGGGGACGGGGGTGGGGAGGAACTCGAGAGCGGATCATCTTTTTTCATGCGCAAATAAAAGATCCCTACTCTTCTGTCCCATTAACTACACCGATATCGCGCAGTTCTAAGTAAATTTTATGATAGTGGATTTTTTTGGATCTTTGAATGATATGGGTTTTTATACCTCAGTATCAGTTTTACGCAAATCATTTAAAATCAATGGTAAGCAGAGTTGTGCAAAAGTTCGTCGTTTGCGATGGGTATGGCAAAGTAATTTCTGATTCCAGCTTTCGATTACTATAAAAGCGCGCCACGACCTATACACCCTTACAAATTCTTCTTTGCAAATGAAGACGATCTTTTTGATCAAGGTTAAAGCCCCTCCTCCCCCCCCCCCCCTCTTAAAAACATGCATTTTTTTCTGCTTGAGTACATGTTGTAAACAATCGTTTCCATTCATAAGAAAAACGCAAGAAAACAGAAGTGGTTTTTCAAAAGGTTCTCATTACATGCTCAGGGTCGAGCTTTTTTTCGGTTTTCTTTGATTGCTTGCTGTGGAATGTAAGCTCGTTATAGGACTCAAGAACTACTTCTTTTAACAAAGGTTTTAGAAAAAAACTGAGAAGCTTTGACGAAAACCTGGGTTCAGATAGAGTTCCTTTTCGATTGATAGAACTTTTTTGAAGAGAACAAGAGCTATAACAAACTGCTACCCCAGACAAAATTCTCACCATCTTTTACCGTAGGCTTTCAAAATCAATAATTTGATTAGTCATCTCAAATGGTTTAAATTGAATTAAGCAAATTACAAAACGTAAAAAACAGCGACAAAATGGTCACCTTGGTCATCTTTTATATTGAAAATTTTTTTGAAGCAGACGTGATGCGCTTAGACATAATCCTTTCGAATATTGAAATACTTGAGAAAAAGTCACCTTGAGAAATAGTTTCCGAATTATTTTGGAAGAAAAGCTAATGAGCTTGAAAAAGAGACTAATTCCTAAGTTATTCTTGAAGAAAAGATTTGAAGATTGAAGATTATGCAAAAACACTGTGGTTTCCTTGATTAAGACCATCAAAATTTTGTTTGAATCTTCTGTCTTCTAAATATTTCCGTGCTTTAACTTGCTTAGGTTGATTTCTGTATCAGCTCTCATCCAACACAACTGACCCTATTACTACCAAATTTTTCATTTTATCAACCACAAAATAATGTATTACCTAATTTCCGTTTTTTTTCTTCCATTAACCAAACTTATCGCAGTTTTCCTTAGTTGGAATTTCAAACTTTGGTCGAATTTTCATGCACAATGTTTACTCAAGCGTTTGCTCTTTTGACCGTCCACTACAATGGAACAGAGAGGTAGTCTTAGTTTTGTTTGTTTAGCGCTAGTTTACAGCACTGAAAAACTTCTTCGCTCTAACTGAAGGATCTAGGATTATCTTACCCACTTCTTCACTGAGATCGAGAACAAAAACCCAGAAACCAAAAAACCTGTCCTGTATCTGAACGCCCATGTCTTCTATTTTTTCCGATTTCCTTGCTAAAAACCGGGTCGCTGGCCGCTATTCGCTAGTGCAAATAACCAGTTCTTCCATGGAGTATGTCATCGGCATATGGATAGCCATGGGAACTGCTGCATCCAGCGAGTAGCCGTGGCGAAAGCCCAGCTACGGCCACGATCGTGACCAAACTGTTCACTTTGAGCAAACATTCGCACCCACAAGACCACTAGCCGAGTTGCGCTTTTGGACCCGCTGCGCGCTCACCGCGGTCCCCGTTACTTCGCGCAAAGCTCAGCGTCAGTGAGGGAATTACGAGTGCTTAATTGGGCTCGCAAAGTCTAGAAAAAAAATCGAGTTCTCAGTCATTTGACGGTAAACAGACGTTTGTCATCGTATCATTCACGAGTCATTTGTTAGTTAATATGTGAATCTGCACACTATGCGCGGCAACCGACGACACCTTTTTGATAACTCCTCAGTAAAACCTTTTCTATTGTAACAAACTGTAGAATCTGTAGTACTGAAAGAGCTGTAGAAATGCATAAGTGAGCTTAGCCAATCAAATCAAAAGAGACAACAAAACAAGAAAAAATCACTGGAAATGAGCAAGTTTAAATCTGACAACTCGTCAAGTATCGCGCATGGTGTGCAAATGCATAATATACAAACTCGACGATATTAGGCGTAATAAAACTATACGAGTGACATGGACTGCCACTACATTGATCAAGGTGCTGTTTAACACAGAGTAGCCATAATGTGCGCATAATGTGTGCAATTACACAAAGAATTCCTGTTGAAAAATTGAGGCCTTTTTTGGATGTTCATGTGATGTAACTTTTCTGGTTCGACTTTTCATGACAGCTTTATCTCATTTCTAAAACAACCAGCGATTTAGGCTTACTCTAGGCAACTCATTTGTGCAACTACACAAATTACTTCCTTTTTTTCGCTTTCGTTCCTATTTAAAAACTAGGATCTTCGAGGTTGCCATACTGCCTAACAAGCTTTTGAATTTGTGCATCCTTTGGATCAATCGATAAATCGTCAAAGATAAGGTTCAAAAAGTATTATCTCAGAACAAAGCAAAGCGTTCCCAACTATCCTAGTCTCAAAATGGACTGTGTGTATACAAACGGGGCTACAACTCAAAAAACACTATTAGCATTGGAGCATATTTATCTCCAACGAACAAGCACAACTTCAACAATTGCTTTACCATGATTGGCTCTCATCAAAACATCCTTAGCTTAGCTTTTCGTTTTTTCAGAGCAGGACAATGACGCCCGTGAAGCCGATTCGTGTGCTGTTTCGGCCACTTGTTTACAAGCAAGTCAAGATATCCCATCCAGCTATCTACAGTGTGATCAAACGTAAGAATTTGGTTAGAGTCAAGAAGTGAGAGTACAGCGGTTTCCTATGTTTAGAACTCTCCGGTGGGTTCGCAAATCGTGCCAAGACGGTTTCATCTTCAATTTCGAGCAACAAACATGTATTGTACCAAAAAGGATGAGTTCACTTTCACGTAAGTGGTCAAGCATGCAAAATTGTCATTTCTTCTCTTAGAAAAGGTCTTTTGCTAATTTAGCACCAGAACTTGAAGTATTGAACGTTATCTTACATAGGACCGTTTTGCATAACTGTAACATTAGCGAAAGAGAAGCTGAGGCTCAAACACAGCAGCTTCGTGTCTTGTTTCACTAATAAGAAGCTTTTGAGATTGACTTACTTTTTGATTCAACTGGATTGGCGGCTGGAAGGCGCGTCTTCGTGACCTAGTTGAGGCTAGAGAATGATCAGAGAGCGCGCGCGAGAGAGAGGCGCGGATTGCGTCGTGGGCGTGAGCGGCCTTTTCCAGCCGCCAATTCAGTCAAATGAAGGTTATATCTAACATAAGATTAGAATATAGTATTCTCTGCGTTGCCGAAATTATTTTCGCATAAGCAGTGCAATGCATGCTCTATAGCCAATTTACGCGCCAATCACAAGCAAAACGCCAGCATTCATGAGCATGGCATTTGTTTCCGCGCAGATATGGTCGACAATGCAGAAATGTATACACCATCAATTCCATTAAACTGGAAGAAAATTGTTTATCAAATCCAATCTCTGTTAATAATTAATAATTACTGTAGATAGCGTTACAGCATGAAAAAATTTTGAGAAAAAAATCAATATATCGATTAGCTCGCTTCTAAAATTGGTCTGATCCAAACGATTTATAAGCAATCACCGGTTCTATTTCATTTCTGAAATGTAACTCCCTCATAACTCTGAATGAAGCCAAAAATCAATATATCGATTAGTTCTGGTGTAAATAGCATCCTAGACGCTTCATGTTTGTTACAAAGTTTTTCCTTCCCCTGAAAATTTTTACTTTTACATAGCTTTTACCCTCCTGAATGCATTCATCCCCTGAATTCTAATCCTTAACACCGTTCCTCCCTCTAACCAGCTTGCAGACCATCGCCCGTTATCCTGCCCGGACGGCTCTGGGGCACTCGGGACTTGCCCTTGCGTTTTTGGCACGTTCTGCACGTCTCAAAACCTTTGCTGTCCGATTACCTCGCTTATGCCCAAACCTCGACCTCATGTCGCTCGCTTTGTGAGCTACAAAAAACATCGCCGTCAATCGCCGCGATCGGAACATCGCGATCGTCGTACGGATCGCCGACGAAGCAACCATAAAGCGACCACGTTCGCCACTTCATCGTTGATTTCAAGTGAGTTTTGCTTGTCTTATTTGCTGTTGAGCACGCTTTCGCTAGCTATGGAGCGCTGCTGTAGTTACGGGAAGCGTTTGCGCGCGAGCGGCTAATGAGTGTTTGATTAGTGATCGCTGCTGTGCTGTGTCCGCGTTCACGTCCACGTTGTGTCACACGATTCACGAAATGTTCGCAAAAACGCGAAAAGCGCGTGAGAGTGCTCATCAGCTCTGACTATGCTGCTCTGACTCAGAAAATCTTTTGTTTTTCAGTGACAAGCGCAGCTACTGACGGGGGCGCATGTACGGCGATGAGTGCTTCGTGTGTAGTCTCAGACGACTGTCCACCATGGTTCATGTGCAAAAATGGCTGCTGCCAGTTGGATGTCTGTCCTGGAGGAGCAAAAGTATTCTTTACATGCACGAGTCGCTACCAATGCCGAGCGGGAGAGAAATGCGTGTTTGGCGGATGTTGTCCGCAAGTGCAGAAGACGTCATTTTCCAAAGAACCGCGAAAAGCTGTCGAGTTGACTACAGTATCTGCTGATCTAGTAGTCAAAGGCAACGACGACCCATATAGCAATTTTGAGACCCTATTAAAGCCTCAACCAGTGCTCGACCCCTATGGTGCCTTCCCCGATTCCGGCACCCTTCCCCGATTAGAAAAAGCAAAATCGAAAGCAACACAGATGCCATCCGCCACCCCCATAGACGAATGTGAAGTTGACGATCGAGTAGAAGAGTGCAGCCTCGACAATCCATGCCCAGAAACAAGCGAATGCCTCAACGGTCGTTGCTGTAAAATGAAAGTCAAACGGTGCAAAAACGGAGTTTTTGCGCTAACTATTCCTCGGCTCTGCAAAACTTCCGATGACTGTCCCATTTCGTCGATATGTGAGAAGAACGTGTGCTGTCCAATCGTTGATAATTTGAAACTGGATGAGGGAGACGAATCAGACAGAGAAGAAGCCAACTTAATCGAAACTGAAGCCGTCACACTGCAATTCAAGTCCTCAACAGCAGCTCCGGGCCAGAAAATACGTTCTGAAGGAGGGAACAGGAAGATAAGCACAGGACTCGCGAATCGAAAGGTAATAGTTTTTTTTCACATCTAGGATAAAAAAGAGAAGTGGAAATCAGAGAAGAGAAAGAGATAAGGAAAAGGCTAAAGCACTAACGGTCTCAGAATCTCTCCTGGGAAGAGGGGCGATAAGGTTACTCACTTGACCACGTCCCTTGAAGGAATTTTTGGAAATCCTTAAATTTTGTGGAAGCCTACGCGCACAAAATAAGTTTCCTATAGCTCAATCAACTTTTGGAAACTAGAAGGATAGTTTTTATAGCTGATTTCAAATTTCAGAAAATTTTGTAAAAATTCTGGGCTTTTCATAGGTAAAAAGAACTTGTTTGCAGTTTATATAGCTACCATAGATCATTCTGGAAAATTTCCCAACTTATCATAGCCTTAGGATAGCGTAATAAACAATTTGGCAATTGGCATATGCATTAGGAAATCCCCTACAGTGGTCATTGTGCTAGATCATCTACTTCATGCTTTTTGATATATGTGATGTGGTTAAAACAGGAAAGTTGAGATTTTTCCGATTAAGTCTGTTCGAGGCTGAAATTTTTTCCCAAAATGATTCTTTTACTTCCTAAAAGCGGATTATGATGGAAGCAAAGTATTAGAAACCTTTCACGCTTGCAATAAAATTTTTGCAACGTCTGCGTACCTCCCCCCCTCGCCCCGCCCACTTCGTCTGCGTCCATTCCTTTCAAATATTTTTTGCATAGATCAATCTTTCAAGGAAAATATGTAAAAATTATAAAATGGTCAAAATATTGAAAGGGTTTGTTGCGTTGTGAGTTATGGGAATTTCGGCTTGAGAAATAATCGTGAGGGGAGAAATGAAAATTCAAATATTAATATTATAATATTATATTTGATTATCATTATTTTAAAATCTTACAGGAGAAAGATTTTAAAATAATGATAATCAAATCTCCAATCTTTTGAATGAAAGATATTTTCAAATTTCAAACTTCAAAATTTTCAGCCCACCTGCCTCGCAAGTCATAGCTGCTCTCCCTATCATGGCATGGGCTGCCCTGCTGGTTATACCTGCACTCTTGATGGCCGCTGTTGTCAGATTAGTACTACTTGTCCGGATGGTTCAGCGCCTGAATGGTCATGCAGTGATACAATGCCATGTCCAACTTCACATTTGTGCTTCATTACGGAAGAAAACCACAGCATTTGCTGCTTGCGAGGTAAGAAAGGTTGCTCCCTAGGCAGATTCCGAAGTTGTTTGTGTGCCGGCGTTGTGCCAGCGCCGCTCCAATGCCGATTTCGTGCTGGAGCCGTGCTAGATCCACGCCGACGCTCCCCCATCAATCGATGGACGTTCCACGCTACTAGTACGGCGCTGGAACGGCCCTGACACAGCGATGGAACGGTGCTGGAGCGGAATTCGCACGATGTTGGCACGTGCAACTCTGAACCCAGCTTGAGCACAACTTTTCAAGCAACAAACTCGAGTTTTGGTTCAGATCAACCAGCGTCGCTACAGTCAGCATGCCCACCCGGCAGTTACGAGGTATATCCTCGATTCGGTGATCACTGTCGTTACAGTCTACAGTGTCCCTCACCGTACTTCTGCAATCACTTGGGAAGATGCTGCCAACCTTATCTGTAAAGGTGACATTGGCTAATAAACTGATTATTCAAAGATTTGATTTCCCTTTGTTTTCAGAAGTGCCTCTACCTCGGCTACGAAAGACGTCGATGAATCTTTTTTGTTATTATTTTGCTTTTCTTGCCCTTTTCCCTTTGCATGAATGAAAAATAAACTATTTTCAAACCTAACAGCATGCTTGACATTCATTTTTTTTACATTCTTATCAAATTTGAAGTGGAACTGCGGTACACTAGGATAGAATGAAAGCATGCCAGAGGTAGAAATCACAAATTTCAGGGCAACAAGCTAGCGGACTTGTATGCACCTACTCTTCGTGCTCGAATACAAACCCGTGCTCCACGGGTACCTGTAACAATGGCTATTGCTGCAGTTCCGGTTCTGTTCCATCATATGCAGCTGTAGCAAGTAAGTATAAACTTAATAATAGAAGCAGCCTTAACCCAGCATGCTTCCAGCCAGAAAACGTAGGCCTAGATCAGCACAAACTAACAGCACCACTAATGAGCTTAAAGAAAATGACTGGCCAATCGGACCGCCAGGATACGGTTTTCCACATCATCTTGCCGATTTGGATGCCGTACTGGTGAAAGCGGCCGGCGATGGCAGTGCGTTGCACTCTAACTCTTTTGGTTCCACTTGCCACGCCCCTAATTGCACTTTGCACCAACTTTAGGCACATGTGCGGGTGGCTTTAACAGTTCACTACCATGTTCGGACAGTGGCGAGTGCCCACCCGGACTGCACTGTGACTCGAAATTGCACCAATGTTGTCCGCTTATCCTACCGCTAATCGATGCCAACACTGCACCTCAATCCGTGCAATCATGGAAGGAAAACCTTGAGAGAAAGACGTCTCCTCGTACAAAATTCTCTTCACGGTCTCGTGCTTGTCGCCACAGTTCACCCATATGTAGTACGTCTTCACTCTCACTTACGCTCAGACAACGTCCAGGGCTGCCCGTGTGCAC